TTTTTTTTGTATATTTGTATGTATATATGTACATATATCAAGGTGTATTGCCATTGATTTGCATTAATTACCCGCTGAATACATTTTTGTTGCGTTGTTGAGGTCGAGTTACTTTCCAGGCCACAGTTTAGACGAGCCACACTGCTGTACTTTGAATCGATTCAAAGCGGTGCTGGTTCCAATCCAAAAAAATACTGACATGGAAACAATGCTGCTTCTTAGCTCGATGTTTTTATATGTTGCTTTTCTTTTGTTGCTTTATTTAAAATTTTATTTTTATTTTTATAGAAGCTGTGAATATCACATACTCATGCTCCTCGAATTTACTACACTCTGATCGTACAATGGTCACAAGGGCTCCATAATTATTGCGGACACTTTGTCATTTTCGAGACCAACATAGAGTAAATTATAATCAACATCACCATCATCATCAACAAGAATATATTTTACGGACAGCGTTGTTTATTGTAAGCACGTACAACGGAAATCGCATTTTCGCGCACATCTGTTTGCACATTGAACAATTTTCATATTATTATTAGTGTGATTCAAACAAAAAATTGGCACACCACAGCAATATGTAAGAACTTATGTGGACGTCTTTTAAAAATATATATATATTGCTTGGGAACGGTTATTTGTGGCGTCAAGTGGTTTTTTTGTAGTATGTATGTATTTACTATAGATATAATTATATATGTAAATTTGTATATACATTGGAGCCATAAAATGCCAAATATTAATTTGTCACACCTACTACGAACAATACCATATCTTTTTATTAATAAACTCTTTTTTCAATCTTATTTGATTGCGAGAATTATACATACATATCTATTATGTACAATTACGTATGTAAGTATGGGATTGTATTTCTCCCCTATTTAGCGCTTATATCGTTAACAAAGTACCACTCGCGAGACCGACAAACAACGAATGCTTAGAATACTTTCCAAACGTATACGTACGTACGCGTAAACCGCTGCTGTATTACTAATTGTAAATTTTTTTTCTAAACGCTCTAATGCTCCAACAACCTTTATAAACATCTGCGCTAGTATTGCTATGAGTGCCGCGCCGCTCCAAAGCGTTTATGTGGTCAAGTGCGCCACTATAACCGCATTTACTGCTTGGCGCGCAACGCAGCTGATTGCTCTTTCTTCTATAGAATCTAGCTCTGCTTCCATTCATTACCTCAATTCAGATGTCTTTATTCAGTCGCTTTCATTGTGCTTATGCGCGCGTCATATTAGCAAACGAAATCGTTTTCAGTGAAGCTTGATATTAATAACTACTTACATGATTTATTCGAAATCGGAGGCGCATTCTGGATTTAAAAATGTTGTGGTGGAACTTTGAAGCGAAATTCTATGGAAGCTCCACTAACGAAATATACTAAAAGTCTCACGATACCGAAACATACCGGACTGTTCTTCCGGTAATATTCTAACAACATTTTCTTTGGAATAACGTTATGATAGGCCTTTACCTAAAATAAATCTGGTTTAGCACTTAATCGAATCAAACATAAATAAATCGAACGATACCTAGGACTAAGACCCGTTTTCAAAGTGACGAGTTAACTCACAATCGGTAGTTAACTACAGATTTTTAGTACAAGTAATTTTTGAGCAAAAAAACACAACCGGCATTAATGCTCATATAAAAATTTTGGAGTACCGTTAATTTTTTAATTTTCAATTATCTGATCTAAAACAATTTGGCTTGGGACCAACCTTGGTAATATACATTAAAAAAAATATTTCCACGTATTGATAACCAGCTCCTTTTTTTGAAGTCGGTTAAAAAGTGTAAGCCAACTACCTAATGTGAGTTAACTCTTCACTGTGAAAACGGCCATAAGTGCTCCTAACATGTTCGTGAAATGTAACAAATTACATACATATCGTCGTTTAAAGTACAAAACCGCGTATCGTCATTCTGCAAAACCGCGTAACTGACATTGGCTGCCAAAAATTGGATTTGCTCACACAAGCTCTTGGCTCAATCCTTATCCATTCGTCCTGAAATATACTAGCCAGAAATGCGTTTGCTTTACAAAAAAGAGAACCATTTTGAAATATGAGTGCTTTACGCTCCAGAAAATAATTTCTACAACTTCACATACGCGGATTTGCATTTTGTTGATACGCGGTTTTGCACTTTAAACGACGATATGTATGTATGTATAAGTACAGTTGTGTTAAAAAAAATAATTGTGGGACGGCGAAGAATGATAAAAGCTTTTTTTTTGACATGTTCTGCTTTACAACTTGAAGAGTTGTGATAAAATTTTTACATTTAGAATATAACAAACCGGAAAGAAAAAAGATACTTGTTTCAATTTGCCGTTTTATGCGCCCCTATATACACCAAAAACCAGCTGTTAAGTTGAAAAGCCCTAACATTTTAATGAAATAAAAATGTCTCCATATTTAGATGTTTTTAAGTTATCTAACTATTTTTCAAAGTAAAATTACTATAAATACGGTACCATCTTTTGCAATTGGGAAAATAAATAAGTGGCAATAATACCAAGAAAACAATACTGCACATTTTGTCTCTCTGAAAAAATTGTAACTGAAACAACAATAAACTTCTGGTAGTCAGGGCAAAGCAACATTCTAAGCGACCGTCTGTATGGGCCACTTTGTGGGTTTGGCTCCTCGGGTTTCGCAAAAATTATTACGAATAAGCTAAATCTTTCAAATAATATTGTATATCTATGTGGTTGATTAACTGAAAGTAATTTAAAGGTGAAATTCTTCATAATGACATCATTTTTCATGCTGCAGGATGCTAAGGTATGAATAAAACGTTCTCAAGAGCTTAATGAATTAGTCAACCCAAAGGTATCGAGCCTTAATATTAATTAATAACCTCAAACTGGATATGTCTTCTTGCAGACTGTCCATTCATAGTCAACAAAATACAGAAAACCCCCTAAGGTACAGTTTGAGACAAGTTGCAGTGTGGTGGGCAAAGCACTACGGGATTGTCATATTTTGCGTAGTTTGGTATTTGTCCTGTCCCTATGATCAACGTCAATTATGGATAAAACAAAATGTACTTTATTTTATAGCACTACATGATTGCTGGAAAATACCAACAAAAACGGTGCCTAATAGATTAACGACTTCAAAAATACCAGTAAACTATACAAAAAGCTATTTGTGTTCAAAAGTGGTCGGTATAAGGCAAAGAGGAATTCCATAAGTGGGCCCTAAAATGATAGAAAGTCTGCGAAGAAAGGTTAAAGGAATCATAACAGCAACAAATCTATTAACAAAAACAATGATCTAAACAATTCTGAAAGAGAAATGGGCTTAAATTCATAGAAAAAATTAATCCAAATTAAATTGAAAAATATTTAATATAAGACTTCAGATAGAAATAACTTTAGTTTTAACTTCGTTAAGGTAACCACTACTATTAATTTGAACAGCTCAATTTAGCACTATTGTTTTGTTTAAGCCCGAGTGTATAAATAAACCAATATTTTTAAGATATTAAACTTTAAATATTCTGGAAATATCTACATAGAATCTACTTTTTAACCTTTTTATATCTGTATTCATATGGAATAGTAGCTTATGTCGAAAGGCTGGCTTTAGTATAATGCGGCATTCGTAGCATACGATTGCGAATGACTCACTGGCGCCAAGCCGATGAAGAACTTTTGGCAATTAAACGTGCAATAAATAGTTCCGATACTAGCAAGTCAATATTCTTATCAAAAAATTCCTTGTCGTTTAAAGAATAAAGAGAATGTCGCATTATACTAAAGCCAACTTCCCGACATAAGCCATACTGTGTAACACTTGAGTTTTTTGTTTGATAGGAATGATGCAGCGGCACAATTATTTTTTAACAGCTGTATATACAGTCGGCGTCAAAAATATGCATACCCCGTCATTGTGACGATTTTATTTATTTATATTTTTGTTACCTAAATTTTTTCATAATTTTTAATAAAAATATAGTTAATTCAACAGCAAAAACTAGAAGAAT